AATTTCTTGTAATGTAGTAATTGAAAAGAATTTTAATATTATATTTAGTTAATTAATTATAGTGTGTTTTTATTTATTACCTAATGTTTTTGAGAACCCCAAATTGATATTGCTTTTTTTCCAAAAACTAAATACAAATAGTGTTCAGGATTGAAGCACTTTCCAAGACCTTTGGCCCTCAGAATGTTATAATCCTTCAAGCTCCGAGAATTCTCGAATATTAAATCTTTACTAAAATTCAAGAGCTAAAAGGATTATAAAATTCCGAAAGCCAACAGTCTTAGAAAGTGCTCCAATCCTGAGAATTCCGCCCACCATCATCAAATTCATTGATGATTATTTCGTTCCTAAGGGAAATGGTAGTTCTGCAAGCTTGACGTACCGGGAACGTAATTCCAATGAGGGTCTGGAGTAATGTACTGAATCGAGTGCCCTGTTTCTCATAAATATTTCCAGCGTGATGCACGAGACTTGATCTATGTGAGAGTTTCTGAGAATCTGTCCTTAGGAGTGTTGCCTTTATCTTTAATACTATAGTCTAGTTCTGAGCATGAATTCAGAAAGCAACAAAGCTGCTGCCAGCTTCATCCTTGGGATGGGGTCAGAGTCAGCCCTTAGTTGATAAATGCTTGAGTTAATGAGTCAACCCTTAACACTGAATATAAGCAAGTGCGCGGTGGCACTGAGTATGAGAAAGACTTCCTGGGCGTTCTCAGTAAGAGAGCGCCCGTTTTAAGTCGTTTGGTTAAACAGTCAGTTTCAACCGGAACTGTTGTTGAAATTGTGAATACATTCACACGAGAACTCGTCTTCTATCAGTTGCAGCATCTGTTCTGGCTGCTAAAAATGGAGCGGTTCTTGTGCCATAAGTAACTGCTGTTTGCTGTTATGGTACTTTCTTGTTTCGTTCGTCAATCGAAAAGATTCTCTGCAGGTCCCAATCGTCTTTATGAACTTGTATCTAGAAAAAGATGTTGATATCGGCGGATCCAGATTAACACGTCTGAAATTTCTGGGTTCAACTTGGCACCAGTGTGCATAATGTCATTAATGGAGTGACCAAAAGTAGATGCACTGGAGCCGTTGAACACCACTGTTCGGGATTGATGCAGTCCCATGAATTTCAAACAAAAGAAAGGTCATACGCGCAGTCCGGCGTACCGCATGTGCGCCTATACTGACCGCACGTGCAGCAAGGCTGACCATCACGTGCACCTAGGCTGATCCGCACTAAAAAACATCGAAGAAGCTACAGCTTCAAAAAGCCCGACTCAGTCTCATCCATCAAAGAAGAGATTGGTGAGAGCTTATCAGTCGCCATTAAAGACGGAATTACAAGGTCTACAAGAAGGCCCAAGGCATGACATGTGCGACTGCTGCTAGCAGCACCATTTTTTGGTCGTATGCTCAAAATTTAACCAACTGTCGATGTCGGACCTCACCATCTCACCATCTCCAATGTTACAAGCTCGTTTTCTAATCGATACAGGTTCCAAAATCACGATTGTAATAGAAGACTTAGTTAAATGGCTTAATATACCTCGTCAACATTCAGTCATCCTCATCCATTGAATAGAAGAATCTCTATCAACTTAGACACAAGGTGCTGTATTACTCGTTCTTCAATAAAATCATACCTACTTTTCAGTCACCTTTTAAGCCCACATCCCCAACACATTGACAACGATGCTTCGATCCTTTGAAACTTCACTTCAGGCATGGCAGCATCTGAGAAATATTACGCTAGCCGATCCAGCCGATATCTTATACCAAGACCGGTGAATATTGGTCTTTGAGCAGATGCATATGGACAGATAATAAGGTCAAATATTATCAAGTATTCTCCATCAATGCCAATAGCAAAACTGTCCACTTTTAGATGGCTAGCAATTGGGTCTGTCAGTTGACAAACAGTTGAACATCAGTAGCACGTCACGCATCTACACAGGTAGTAGAGGATATTTTACAAGAACTATTGATAAGATTTGGATGCGCGCCTGATGAGCAAGGGTGTAAGGAGCATTTCAAAGCGACTCATTCGCGTGACTCACCAAGGAAATACATAGTCCAGATCCCACTAAAAAAAATCTGTTGAAGTTCGAGAGAATTCAAGAGACGAAACTTATCTTCAACACTCTCAACAATTCACGATGAAATATAAGAACCTAAGTATATGAAGAGAGTTTTTCCAGTGTCCCATCATCTACTCACTACTATCTGCCACATTACTGCATACTTAACCAGATAGCGCGACCACAAAGTTAAGAGTGGTTGTTCGATTTTAAAGGGTTAGTTTATGGCTCAAACTGCCAATTCAATAGTTCAGTGGATTAGTCTCTCGGCAGGATATTTTTAAAGGAAATCAATAACAGACAAGGCTGAAAAATATAAAGTATTTATTAAAAACAAGGTTAATGATTGTAAACAATTATTATAATATTGCACTGTTGTGTAGAGATAAATAATTCTGTTGGATTATTCAAATGATGTGTTCTTGTGATTCTTATGCTATGAAGGCTTCTATGAATATAACTGTGTTGCTTTGAGGTTATGCTGATGTTGCCAATATCAGCTGATGTCATCAGTCAATCATGCTTGTGAGGCAGCATGGGATGATGGTGTAGAATCAAGTATGCTTGATGGATGAATAGTTATACTTGATGTGGTGTCAGATGTTTAATGGAATTTATTATGTAATCAATTGTGTGTTTAATTATGTAAGGGGACAGCAGTAGAATCTAGTCACAGGTAAAAACAATTAAAGGTGAGATTTCTAATTCGTGAAGGATTTAACAATCTGTATTTATAGTCTATTAGTCGATCTGTGTTCTTCTTTGTGACTAATGTGTGTGAACCACAGTGACTCTTGAGTCAGCTGTTCAGGGCCTGTACGATGTCGAGCGTTAGTTCGAGAGAGCGTAAGTGTGCCC